CCCCAAAACCCCAAAACCCCATTTATACTTTAAAAATATATTGTAAAATTTCAAGTAAAAATATTATATTTAAACAACTCACATTGAATGCTTAACTTCATTTAAATTTTAGCTTAAGTGACATCATCTCATAGATAGTTGATTCCTACAGATTTGATCTTTGAATGATTGACCATAGAATTTATATTTGAGTCTTTCTTATTAGCTTATTAGGATCTCTCATATTAGGGCTAAATGAATCTCATTTTTATTTGAATTTCAGAGCAACTGCTTGATATCAGGCTATTAGTGCGAGATCTAAAGCCGAACATGCTCTCATTTTAGTTTGATTTTTTAACCACATTTTTTGTAGAAATTGGCTTAATTGAAGCTGAAAATTTATGTCTTTGCTCCTTAAATTAGTTTTAATAATGATCTAAATTTTAGAAGTTGACTTCTTTTATTCTTAACTTCTCCCCACTTCCAAGAGTAAGCACTGTCTCGTCCTCATCTAGGGGAGATGGACAACTATCCTGTCGCTGCTCTAGTTTCTTTTTTCTGCTCGAAGTTGACATTTAATGCATTATATCTGGAGAACTTGGACTTTTATTAATACTCCTCATTCCATTTAATCTAGAAGAGCATGGTGGTAGTTTGCTTGCACTTGTTAAGAATTATAAATCATTATTTTGAACAAATTATTTCTCATAGTTATCTTTAAGTTTTAGTATCTTTTATACGGCTCCTCTCTAGAAGCTTTATTTCTATGGTCTTGGTAGTGGAATGCTAGCTTGTTTAAGTTTATTCAAATCTCTAAGCTATTTTTGCATCTGTTAATTTCTAAAAGTGTTCAGACTTTCCATTGTATTTTAACTTTCTTTAAAAAGATTTTCAGTTGAAAGATGCTACCTTGTATGTGTTATTGTCCGCTAGACATCAATATTTGTATCCTCATGCTCCAATATATTTACTAAACAATCTTCATCCTCATTAACCTGATCCTCTAGGATTTTTGATCTCTGCTTTTTCATATTTTCCCTATGAATTTCAATCGCTCTTTATTTTTCAAGTGTTTAATTACGCATCTTTTGATATTTTTAGTACTAAGCATTTGCAGTAGTAGAAAAGCTCTATTTTTATAGTTAATCATAAAAATTCTTAGACTCTTCATTATCTGAATGCTAGCTATGATTTTCAAGACTGTCAAGGAATAGATTTTATGGAATCTCATTTTTATTTTTCTTAGAATCTTTTAGAAGTGTTTCAATTAGTTCATCATCTTAATTATTTTTCATGGAATAATAATCTTGTACTTTAGTACTCTAATGCTTTTGCATTGTCATCTAAGAACTAGTAATCATTTCTTTCATTCCACTCTTAAAATTCTACAGGCTTTCAACTGAATCTTTATAAAGGTCTTCGTTTACCTCAGCAATTGAGTGGTCTCTGCTTGATTTTAGTTTTACAAAATTCAAAGTACCAACAAGATTATTAATTGAGCCTCTATCATTTAATTATACTGAATTTATTCGAGTTCTTTTTATTTATTTAGGACTAACAACTAAGGGATTTTTCTTTTAGCTTGTTTGCCTTGATGTCTTTTGATTTGCTTATTCCTTTTTTATAGGAAGCATAGAAAAAGAGAGACTATTTGTGTTACTTTGATTTTCTTTGTTAAGAATTGTAAGATCTAGAGATCTCAAAGGAGATATTAACCTTCTTGATGTCTCTACAGCATGATGATTTTAGATTGGAAATAAATCAACCATAGAATTAGTAAAAGCTCCATTATGTATTATACTTTCATGCAATGATGAAGTCATTAAATGGTTCGGAGTATTCCCTCTAAAAGTTCCATTTGTGAAGGTCTGTACCTTTTCCTGAAGTTTTGCCATTTAGCGATTTAGAGTGAAAATAGTTTAGTCTTTTTCCAATAAGTCCTAGAGTAATTAATTATTCTTGTCAATTTTATCCTCGTATATATTCATTCTTTTCTTCCTCTCAATATTTAATTTATCCTTTAATGTATTAATTTCTTGTTAACTTTTTACCTTGAGATCTTTTATATCTATTTCAAGTTTTTTTAATTAGCATCTGAGCAAAGATACCTATCTTCGAAGTTTATTCTTTTCATCATCATCATCTTCAAGTTATTCTGTCGGTTATGATTTATTACCAATAATATTCTCTTTATTAATAGCTTTATTTCTAGATTTAACACCAAAAGTATTCATCGCCTTCTTTTAAACAATTGGATTCCCCTTTCTATACTGAATTACCTGGAATTCTAATAGTTCGATCCGCTTTTCGTAATCTATATTTTACTTTTTAATGATGTCATAGTCCTCTTTGAGTTTCTTTTCATACTGTTTGTTTTTTAATTTAACAGAATGTAATTCGTCTTCGTATTATTTTAGCTTATCTAAGTTTAGCTCAATTTACTTATCCTAACCATCAATTTTCCTTCTCATTTAATTTTACTCCTCAAGGAATTATTATTATTCTTTTTGGTATTTAATGATAACTTAGTTATTATCCTGATGATCTTGAAGTCTTTCATTGAGTTTAACAATAACTTATCTATCGATATCAGCATAAACAGTATCTAATTCTAATTGAAGGCGCTTAATTATATCTTGCTGCTACTTGCGAATTTTACTTTCAATATCTCTCGTGTCAATCTCATATTTTTATTTAAGAACTTAGTACTTATTTTAATCATATTCAGATTGTCTCAAATGGAATTCTATTTATTTCTCCAGGTCAAGAATGCGGAAATTGAGTTGTTAATTTTCTTTTTAGATTTCGTACTCAGATTCCCTATTTCTCTCTCTTTCTTTTTATTGGCTTATTGAAAAATCTTGCTTAAGCATCCTTATAATTTCAGCCACCTTGGGATGCTCTTCATTTATTTCTATTTCAAAGCTTTTACTACTATTTAGAGGATTATTCTACAGGGCCTCCATAATATTTTCATTTACCTTTTTTAGGTTTATTTCTCTTTCATTACTCTCTGATAGTTGAATTCTAAGTAGTTCAACTTATTATTGGAGAAGTGCTTTTTCTTTGTTGAATTCTGCTTCTTTAATTCTAATTTATTTTTTAAGTACTTATAGCTCCTCATCAAATTTTTAACGATCTGGATTAAAATTGAATGAACCTGCTAAAGATGATGGGGTAAAACTCATTGATTAAGAAAGATGGTGAGTTGGATTATGATTCATTTAGATGTTTGATATTTATTAAGAATTCATTTTAAATTCAAATTCTATTTATTGTTATTCGTTAAATTAAACCAAACTCTACCCTCACGGGGTTTTGGGGTTTTGGGGTTTTGGGGTTTTGGGG